GCGTGCAACGTGGGTGCGACATGTGTGCATGCTGCGTGCGTTTGACCTGCGTGCTGTAGTTTGCTGCGTGTGCGCGATGTGCGTGCAAAATGCGTGCTGCGAATCATTTTATATTAAATGCGCGCTGCGAATCATTTTATATTTTGCGAACTTTGTAAACGAGAAACGCCTAAAAAGGATGTGGGGCCATAGTATATGTACGATTTGTTCCGCGACGATTTGTCGTCGCTGGGACCATAGTATATGTACGATTTGTTCTGTGACGTTTTGTCGTCGCTGGGACGATGATATATGTACGATTTATACATGTTGCGTGCCCGCTGCGTGTGCACATGCGTGCGTGAATGCGTGCGTGCGTGCGACAATGCTTGCGTGCGTGCGTGCGTGCATATGTGCATGCGTGCATGCATGCATGCATGCACGCATGCACGCGTGCAAGTGTGCATGCGTGCAAGTGCGCATGCGTGCATACATGGCACGTGCGTGCATTCGTGCGTGCATTCGTGCGTGCATTCGCGCGTGCATTCGTGCGTGCATTCGTGCGTGCTACGTGCGTGCTACGTGCGTGCTACGTGCATGCTACATGCGTGCTACGCGTGACATGCCTGCAACGTGGGTGCGACATGCGTGCTACGTGGGTGTCACGCGCGTGCTGTAATGTGCTGCGTGTGTGCGATGTGCGTGCTAAATGCGTGCTGTGCGCATGTGATGCGCGTGCTACGTACGCGTGACCGCGTGCTTCGTGCGTGCTACGCGTGGTCTACGTGCGTGCTGTGTGCCGGCTGCGTTCTCGCTGCGTGCATGTTGCGTGCCCGGCGCGTATGCGCACGTGCGTGAAAGCGTGCGCACGTGCGAAAATGCTTGCGTGCGCGCGTGCATGCGTGCATATGTGCATGTGCATGTGTGCATATGCTACGCGCATGCGTGCAAGCATGCTACGTGCGTGCGTGCATGGTACGTGCGTGCTGCGTGTGGTGCATGCTATACGTGCGGGCTGCATGTGAGCGCTGCGTGCGTGCTGCGTGTGGCGCGGCGTGCGTGAGTGTGTGCATACGTGCGTGCTACGTGCGTGCTACGTGCGTGCTACGTGTGACATGCGTGCAACGTGGGTGCGACATGTGTGTTACGTGCCTGTGACGCGCGTGCTGTAGTGTGCTGCGTGTGTGCGATGTGCGTGCTAAATGCGTGCTGTGAGCGTGTGATGCGCGTGCTTCGTGCGAGCTACGCGATGTCTACGCACGAAAAAAACCTGCATGGTGTGTGCCTGCTGCGTTCTCGCTGCGTGCGTGCTGCGTACTCGCTGCGTGCATGTTGCGTGCCCGCTGCGTATGCATATGCGTGCGCACGTGCGTAAATGCGTGTGTGCATGCGAACATGCTTGCGTGCGTGCATGCGTGCATGCGTGCAAATGCGCATGCGTGCATTCATGGCACGTGCGTGCCTGCATGGTACGTGCGTGCTGCGTGCAGTGCATGTTTTACGCGCGGGGTGCATGCGCGCGCTGCGTGCGCATACGTGCGTGCTACGTGCGTAGTACGTGCGTGCTATGTGCGTGCTACGTGCGTGCTACGTGCGTGCTACGCGTGACACGCGTGCAACGTGGGTGCGACATGTGTGCATGCTGCGTGCGTTTGACCTGCGTGCTGTAGTTTGCTGCGTGTGCGCGATGTGCGTGCAAAATGCGTGCTGCGAATCATTTTATATTAAATGCGCGCTGCGAATCATTTTATATTTTGCGAACTTTGTAAACGAGAAACGCCTAAAAAGGATGTGGGGCCATAGTATATGTACGATTTGTTCCGCGACGATTTGTCGTCGCTGGGACCATAGTATATGTACGATTTGTTCTGTGACGTTTTGTCGTCGCTGGGACGATGATATATGTACGATTTATTACGTGATGTTTGCTTTGTGGGATTCCGGTCGTCGCTGGGACCATATAGTATATATGCGATTTGTTCCACGACGTTTGTAGTCGCCGGGACCATAGTATATGTACGATTTGTTCCGTGACGTTTCGTCGTCGCTGGGACCATGATGTATGTACGATTTGTTCGTGATGTTTTATTTACGGGAGTTTTGTTGTCGCTGGGACCATTGTATGTGTACCATTTGTTCTGTGACGTTTGTTTTGCGGGGTTGCGTTCGTTGCAGGGACCATTCTATGTGTAACAGTCTAGACAGGTTATATCAGTTATATCATGCAGAGTTTTGTAGGAGATGCATGTTTTCGTCGTTTTTGAACTGCGAATTGATTTTCACGATTTTTGCATGTGTTCGACCAAGTGATGTTTTTCTTTGAACAGAATGCCTCCCCGCGCGCCCGTGCGCGCGCGCGCCTCTCAAGTTCTACACATGGCTGTATTTCCTTTGCTTTATTTCCGTTCAGAAAAAGAGGAAAACAACAAAACATAGTTTTTTTTGCAATAGCCCTGGGGTGAGAATAGTGCTGGAAAGGGGGGGGGGAAAGGACGGACCCAAAAATTCGGCATGAGCCATCTTGAGCCTCTTGTCTGGTCTAGCTGGCACTCCCAATTTTTTCGGCAGCATGAGTTAAGCAGATTTCTTGCCTAACTTGGGACCCAAAATTCTTCCGGCAGCAATAGCCCAGCAAAATCCTGGTCTAACTGGCACTCCAAATGTTACCGGTGACATGAGGTATATAAGCAGATTTCTTGCCTAACTTAGGACGAATTTGGCAACAGGGACGAACGGTCAAATCACCAAAGTGTTCTTGATATCATGAACCCAATGGCAAGGAATTTGCCAACTGTGACGAAGGGTCAACTCACGAAAGTTATTCTTGATATATCATGAACCCCATAGCCTGGGTCTAAACTCTAAATCAGCTCTTTGCGTCATGCCATGGTGTCGCTGCACGTGCGGCAATTCCTGGTGGTACTCCACTGCGGAATCAAAGCGGAAAGCCCTGGAGCGGTGCAGATCTCGACACATACAAGAATCAGCATTGGTGCTACCGCAATCCCCAGCTTGCATCAACAACTCGCTGTTCATCATCCTCTCGCACGCTGGAAATCATGGTGTTCATGCTCCGCTTGTCAAAGAGCTCAAGCACCTCGGCGCCACGAAGGTCCACGTCGTCTACGGGTTCAGATGCAACATCGACCAACATATGGGACGACACCTGAAGCCAAATGAGGTGGTTCACTTCTCGGTGCAGCATCGATGGTTTGGGAGGTGCTCACAACTGCTGCAGCGCTATCGGTCCGATCAGCGCTGCAGCCGTATTGGCTACGTCTGGTTTCTGGAGGCTGATGCGAGATTCCAGAAAACACGAAGCGGAGTCGAGCTTCTCATGGCATCTTTGCCTCGCGGAGTAGATATTGGATGGCCCGGCTGGCGCAAGCAATGGAATGAAGGCACCAAGCTTGAATGGTACTATGACATGGAGTTCGCCTTGGAAGGTTCGCAGGCGATTTTTTTCCGCAGGAAGGGCTTGTTGCAAATGTGGCAAGCAACATGCCAAGGCAAGAGGTACCGTCATTTCGACTTGATGTTATCAGAACGCCTGGCCAATAATTTCTGGTATCCGCCACGTCCAGAAGTTTATACAGCAACACATTTGTCGCAGATCTTTGGCAAAGGTCAGAAGATTGCTCGCCCAGGAACTGTGCACAAGCGTCCTGCGGTAATACGGAAGTCTTCTGGAAGGGTTCGCAAAGTGGTGCTTAAAAAATGAGCGATTCTTTGCCAGAGCCGTCTCTAGAGCCGTCTGTGAGCCCCAAGAGTCCGTAGAGCCAAAGCCTTCTCTAGAGCCGTCTGTGAGCCCCAAGAGTCCGTAGAGCCAGAGCCTTCTCTAGAGCCGTTTGTGAGCTCCAAGAGTCCGTAGAGCCAGAGCCTTCTCCAGAGCCGTCTGTGAGCCCCAAGAGTCTGTACCCCACCACGTCCCTGCAGTCATTGCAGCCCCTGCAGCCCCTGCAGCCCCTGCAGTCCCTGTAACCCTGCAGTCCCTGCAGGCCCTGCAATCCCTGCAGTCCCTGCAGCCCCCGCAGTCCCTGCAGCCCCTGCAATCCCTGCAGCCCCTGCAGTCTTTGCAGCCCCTGCAGTCCTTGTAGCCCCTGCAGTCATTGCAGCCCCTGCAACCCCTGCAGTTGCCTGCAGTCTCTGCAGTGCCTGCAGCCCCTTCAGTCCCTGCGGCCCTTGCAGTCCCTGCAGCCCCTGCAGTCCCTGCAACCCCTGCAGCCCCTGCTGCAGCCCCTGCAGAAACAGAGGAAAAATTAGCCTACCTGTATCGGGGCCAGCCTACCTGTATCACCATGGGGGCCAACTCTAGAGCCGTCTGTGAGCCCCGTAGAGGCAAAGCCTTTTATAGAGCTGTCTGTGAGCCCCAAGAGTCCGTAGAGCCTCTTGTGAGCCCCCAGAGCCTTTTTTTATGCCGTAGAAGATGTAAAGTATATTACTATTATAAGTTGTGAAATAAAATCTGAATTCATTGTTCTGATTTCAGACGCATGATCGAACACGACCATGTTCTGTCTCAATCATTTTATATTTGCGAACTTTGTAAACGAGAAACGCCTAAAAAGGATGTGGGACCATAGTATATGTACGATTTGTTCCGCGACGATTTGTTGTCGCTGGGACCATCGTATATGTACGATTTGTTCTGTGACGTTTTGTCGTCGCTGGGACCATGATATATGTACGATTTATTCCGTGATGTTTGCTTTGTGGGTTTCTGGTCGTCGCTGGGACCATATAGTATATTATGAACCCCTTGCTACAATTTTTCGTTTTCCTTTCGGGGTGGGGTAAGTAAAGGGGCCGGGAGGGGGGGTGTGTGAGTGAGGGGGGGGGGGGGGGGCGGGGGGGGCGGGAAGGTGTGGCTCAGCGACCGAGACACCGTCGCAGTTTTCTTCGTTCAAGGCTTGATACTTGCTTGGGGGCGGTCGTTTGCCCATAATCGCTTGCCAAGTCCTCAGTTTACGGCTTCAGAGGAGTGTTGGTCAAGCGGAGAAATGAGTTTCCAGGCCTAAGACATGGTTGCAATGTTGCCCAAGCTCATAAAGCTACATGTCCGCCTAGCGAGCACGTATGCTGCCAGTCCACACGTGCTTTGGCTCTTTTGCCGTGTGCTCGTGCTTGGTGCCATCGTGAGGTTGCTTGACATGGCTCGCTTCTTCCCACGATCCTGCGCCAGCACCGGACAGGCTCGGCTAGAAAATCAAGCTAGGCGGAGATGTGCTACACGCACTTGTGGCTGCTTGTTCAACTGCCAGGAGTTTTTCCGCGGCCCGAGCTGGGCCGACATGTCGGATGAGGAAGACAAGGTGGGTTTGGGCGGGCAATCGTGATGAGCGTTTATTTCTATGTTGTGATCGGGCTGGCGGTTCGCGCAGGCGGCTGCTGTTGAAACCCCCCACGGCCCCAGCGTGCTAGGCGAGTCCGCTTCACCCTAGTCAGGGGTTCTTTCGTCAGATGGCTTAGACTGGCCAGCCCAAGGCATCAGCAAGAAGCGCCGCATCTTGATGGATGCCAAGAAGCGCCAGCAGGCCGGAGGCTATTGTTGTTGCGAGCCGGCTAGACCTGCTATGTGCGTGTAGGCCCGCCAGAACCGTAACCGGGCCAAGAAGAGGAGCAGCTCGGATGTCCTTTGGTGCTTTTTTTCTTGAGCATCCTCTCTTCAGCATCGACCGCTGAGGGGTTGCGGCGGCATCCCAACGGGGTCAATTTTTCAACTGGGCACGTCTCGACGAGCAGGCGCTGCTGCATAGGTTGTCAGTGAACCTGCCGACGCAGCGTGCATGTGGACAGGAAGAAGACACTTCCAGCGTGGCCTCGGACCCCGTTGTCGCCTCGGCTAGCTAGCAAGTATGCCAACGGTTCGCTGTTGTTGACAACTCAGGAGAATTTCCCATCAGATTTTGGCGCTGCCACGGGCCTGGAAATTCCGGAGGACCGCAGCAGTTTGGATGCCTTGCCCCCGCTGCTCACAACTTTTACTTCCATGCTACTGCCATTGATGAGACTTCTGCTGTTGCTACTTCTGCTACTCTTGCTATTGTCACTACTATTGCGCGGCTGTGTTTTTGGAAAGGAGCAATTTGAGCAAAATGCCAGAGCGGCGATTGTCCAGGCAACCTTGGAACAGACCGGCAGGTTGTATTTCATGTCCGTGCTTGCCAGGCTGATGACCCTTCAGATTTGGAGGCCGCGGCCGCGGCAGAGGTGCAGGACAGGAAGACGGAGCGCGCTGACTTGTTCTGTGAAATCATGTGCATATGCACACGCACACACACGCACACTTTTAATCTGGAGCACCTGCAAAATCTTGGAGGCCCTGTAGTGCCACTACTATGGTCCGGTTGTGTCCTTAGAAAGGAGCAAGACTTCGCAGCGGCGACAGCCCAGGCAACCTTGGAACAGACAGGTATGTATGTTGTCTTTCACGTTCGTGCTTGCCAGGCTGATCTGGAGCACCTGCAAAGCGACCTGGAGCAAATCTTGGAGGCCATGGATGCGCAGGCTCGCGCGCAAATTGATGTTGATAAGACAAAAACTCTGTGTTCTGTGCTGCAGGAGGCTCGGCGCAAGCAGCGAGGCGTCGTGTCTGACGGAGAGGAGGCGTGGCGTCTACGCGGCGTTCGATAAGGGTTTGGGTGTTGCATGCGTTGCTTTCTGGTTGGGTGAAAAGGGTTCTGGAATGTAGAAGCAGCCTATCGTTTCCCATGTTTTTCTGCAGCAGAGTTTGCGCAAAAAAAAGTTGGCGTTTGGTGCACGCTAGTATTATTCGTGCGAGGAGCACCCGCACCTGTGCGACGCGGGCTGGGCCAGAGGACTTCTATGCCGTGCCCAGCCCCCGCTCCGCAAAGTCGTCATCGACCGCTCCTTCCTGGAAGCGTTGTGCGCTGACGAGGTGTGGAGAATACCACGTCATACACGAACGAGACACACACACACATCGACTCGTTGTTGTTCCTTATCCTGTGTCGTGGGTGTCGCTCGCGCACTGTGTGTCGTGTGAAGACGATTAAGACAATGATTAAGACGATCACACCCGGCCGAGAATTATTGCTCAACAGCAAAACCTAAAACCTCTAAGCCCTGAAACTTGAAAACTTGCATAATCCACGCCTCGAAGCCCCAGACCTCGAAATATCGAAGCCTTGGCTTGGCCCAAATGCTACAGAACATGCTTGCAAAACATGCTCTGCCAGTGGTGCGCTGCATAGCAAACTGGTTGATGCGTTTCTGCTGCCTCGCATGAAATATTGTCACACACACACACACGTGCGCTGCCAACGGAATATTTCGTTGCAGGCTAGCGGGCGGTTGCCTGGGAACACTATCGCAAACCACAGAAATCAGTCGCACAGAAGAGGCGGGGGGCGAGCACATTTTCAACATTGACTCAACAAGCGCAGCCAACGAGCATTGCGTATAGCAAATTTCCGGGCGGGCATGGTAAGCGTGAACCTAACCAAACACTGAATGGAACGCTTGGTGCCTGGGTTGTCGTTTGATGCACTGCTTATGTTTTTCACGTAGAAAGAAGAAGCTTCGGACACCCGTGCCCCTAAGACTTGAAACTACGACTCCTGCAAGGTGAAGAAACCTCGCTTTACCAGGCCTTTCGTCTGGAAGCTAGAGAACCTCGGCTCCGCAAGCTTGACAGCGATCCTTCGCAAATCATTGAATCTTCAGTCCTTGCAGCAGCAGCTCAAAGGCAAGAAGCGCGTCAGTAAGAAGCTGCAGAAGCAAGTCAAGCTTGCCAAGCTGTCGCAGCGCTTCTGGCAGCTCAGCGCAGAAGAGCGGCAAGCGGTTCTTTCTGATGCTGGCGTGTATATTTTCCCCGACGCTTTGCAGGAAGCTGATGATCTAGAAGCCTTCGTCAAGGAGCAAGACTTTCTGCACCCAGCCAGCGCAGAATGCCTGAATGCCAAGCGTGTCAATGGCAAAAAAGCTCCCCGGGATGCGTTGCCTTGTGGGTGGCAGGCTTGCACTGTGGCAAGTACAGAGTCAAGCCGTGGAGCACGGGAGTTGGGCGCGTCCGTCTGGAGTGCAACGTGGGGGAGAAAGGCCAGGAAGCCGGTGGCCCTTTGGCGTTGGAGCCGCGTGGACGGCGTTCGGCCACCCTTCTTACACTTTGTGTGCATGAAGGACGCAGACAAGGGCCAATGCCTGTACAGTGCTGCTTGCATTGAAAAGAGTGCAACGGCGCAACAGATGCAGAAGAATTGCGACCTGCACAGTTTGTTCAACCGTTTGCCACTTTTGTTTAGTCCTTCTTCTGCAACCATTGAACTTGACGATGACACAGTGGTTGAGATTGCGCCCAACCTCACTGTCCCGATGGAGGACGATGGCACACGTATCGACGTGGATGTAAGTGATGGTCTCGCGGAGATTGGCCCAGAGCTGGCTGAAAAGTTGGGCTTGTTCAAGACTGCCCGACCGGACTGTCTCCGACAGCGTCTGGTTTATCATGCTGCACAGTTCCGCGCAGTACTCAAGGTGGGAGACATTGATGTACTCGCGAAGGGCATGATCATGGTCAACGCCAGCTTAGGGAACAAGTTGCGCTTGCGCAAGTCTTGCATCAAAGCTGAATGGCCTTCCGACGCAGACGCTGGCATTCAATATGGTTTGGACATCGTTCAAAAATCTGACAAATGCCAAGGCAAGCCAAAACTACATGCGCAGCTTGTGTCGGCATTGGCCTTGCGTGCCTGCCTCGTTCCTACACGAGAGGCTAGAAGGCAGGCCAAAGCTGATGTGCGGGAGTTTTGTTGGGAAAGAAGGACTTACCTCCCGGATGACATGGAGAAAAGGGCCTGGGGGTTGAGTTGCCCGAAGCAGTCGCGCCAGGAGGGGGTTGAGTTGCGCAGGATTGCATCGAGGTACTGTGCCACTGATGCCAAGGAGCGAAGTCTGCATGTCCACAGCGTGCCACAGAACCGGGTGGCTGTTGAGTACAAGGAACGCATCGAGCACCCCAGTCCCCTGGAACTGTTGCGCACCACTGAAGAATTGGAAGAGCCATGGAACTTTGAAGCCTTGAGGACAAAGGAATCGATGCTACGTGGTGGGAGGCGATTCCTTGCAGAGGCAGACTCTCAAGAAGACAACCCTCGTCTGCCGCTGAAAGGGGTTGGCGCCGGCTGCTTTGCGTTGCCCGATGTCCAAAACATTTTAGGACCCCAGAAATGCATTGTCATTATCGACGGCGAGATCTTGAAGGGGCCGGTAGTTGTATTCCGGACCCCGCTCATGCTCCCGGAGGACATCGAGGTTTGGGAATCTGTAGACCCACCCGCTCCCGAGCAGATGAGGTTTCTGCCAGACAACTGCATAATTTGCAGCTGTGAAAGCCTGGGTGTCACCAGTTTGGGTGGTGGGGACTATGACGGGGACGTCATCTTCATCTCTACAGATCCTGACCTCGCGCGGCTTGTGGCCAACACTCCAGACGGGCGCTCCTTGAAAAAGCTGCGAGCTGCCACGCGATTCGCCAAGGAAAACCTGGCTCGCAAGGACCTGGTGGAGTGCAGCAGTTTCATGGACTACATCAACTACTGTCGCCGGGTTGATACCCCCTCAATCCGTGGGGACACATGCGTTCTGGCGGAACGAGCCCAGATGGCTGCCTGGGCGGCGAGATACCCTGCGAAGAAGAGGACTGACTTTGAGCTTGCCTTTTTGTCTACAATGAGTCTACAATGTTATGGCAACAAGAGAGAATAACCTAACATTGTGATGCCGGGAAAACATTTTGAGGATTCATTTGCTTTCACGTTACTGTGCAATAGTGATCAAGGTTTTTCTCGGGATGTTGGGGCCGGTATGGCGAATGCTTGTAGACTCAAGGTTGAATCAGTAGTCTAGTAGTATTCGCAGCCCAGTCACCTCGGGGGTCTAAGTTTTTTTTTGGTTTCGTGGTCGCTACCACAGCAACGATGTATAGGCTGAACCGACCTGAAGTGAAACCTGGACCTAGACATCTGTTTTAATCTTAGTCTGCCTCTGACACCACCCCTGCAGACGTAGGATGCCCCGCGCGTTCGAGCTCGGCAGCGTTGCCCACGCGGCTTACGATGTTCCAAAAAAATATGACGCCGAGGCCGGGGACAAGTTTTTCTTGCGGACAGTCGGCGCACATGTGTTAGAGAGGGGTGAGGGGGTCGTGTGAGGCAGTATCACGTCTTGCCCGACAAGTGCTGAGTGCGGCAGGGCTCAGTCGAGGAGACAAACGCTTCTCGTCTCACATTAAGAAGAAGTTCCTTGCCCCCAAGCTGAGCGTGGATCGTCAGCGACCGTGGGCTGGACGCCGCCTCCTGCCACGATCCACGCCGCTTGGTGAACTTTTCTTGCCTTATGGCAAATTGAAGTTGAGCGGGGAAGCGGGGATGCTCATCAAAGCTGAACTGCTCAAAGGCCGCGACTGGCATGCCGAGTCTTGCACTCCAGGCAGGCGCTCTGTCAGCAGGGACGTGAGCCGCCTACTTTCTCACCGTCTCCCGCGACTTTGGGAGTGTGTTACTAGCCAGAACATTGGGCTGTTTATAGAAGAGGCTCAGCGAGAGCGCTTCCCGAAGCCCATCACCACACTAGCGGCCCTGTACGACACACCGCTCTGAGTTCAGGGACATCCGCTTCAAAAGATCGTGCGTGGGTGCAGATTGCGTGATGCCTCCTGTGTGTTCCTTGGTTTGTTTCAGGCAGCATCTTTCGTGGCAGGAGTGGGGCGGGAGGAGGGGGAAGGGCGGGGAGGGGGGATACTTAAACTCGGCTTCTCAGCTATTGGGGATCTGAGTGAATTGAAGTGAATTGAATTTTCGGCTTGCCGAAAGCGATTTGAACTAATGTGCTTAAACTCGGCTTCTCAGCTGTTAGGGATCGGGTGGGATCTGGTGTCTGGGGGTTTGCGGGGCTTGAGTGAATATTCGGCTGGCCAAAGCGATTTGAATTATATAACTTACTTGACTCGGCTTGTCAGCTGTTTAGACAAAAACATGGGAAATTCAGATTGGTGTCACATACAATTTCTATTTATTTTGTCTTGAGGGTTTAGGGTTTAGGGTTTAGGGTTTAGGGTTTAGGGTTTAGGGTTTAGGGTTTAGGGTTTAGGGTTTTAGGGTTTAGGGTTTAGGGTTTAGGGGTTAGGGTTTAGGGTTTAGGGGTTAGGGTGTAG